TCGCGTAAAAGGTTTGCAGGCTGTCCTCTACCAGTAGCAGACGGTCTAGGAAATTGTTTTTATGGTGCTTGTCAAGGGACTTTATTAGATACAGATAAAAATGTTTTGCCTATCTGCCCAGGTTGCCTTGGGAGCCTTTGTTAGGTGTGTTTCTTCAGCCTTTTTGCGACAAGTTGAAGAAACATTACAAATGTTTCCTGTAAGTGGAGTCAGTAAAAATGATACTGTGTTGTGTGCAAGTGTAATTGATCCCCGATCGTGGATTTTGTTCCTTTATTGTATGGAGATGTCCTGTATGGACTTCTAAAGTTATTATTTTGTATAAAAATTAAAACAATCTCTTCACATTACAGATTGGCCAGTTAGAGGTACTGGTTGAAAAAATAGTTTTCTGAGTCATATGCTAGCAGCCAATCTGCAAGGCTGGAAATTCTCATTGGAGTTTGCTCACTGATATATAAAAGTGTTTTAGCTTTTCTGGCAGAAATTATGCAACAGTGCCAGAAGGAATGAAGAGAGCCAGTATTCTGGTTTTGTCATATTTAAGCATCAAATTAGAAGCACGAGATCTAATGGGAGATGAGGATGTCTTTGCTTCAGTAGGAATAATTTTCCTATGCCTTTGAGTAAGGATTCAGATTTTTGTTTGAATTGGCAGCTCTTGTATAAGTCTTGGGCGTGTGTATTAATTTCAGGTTAAAAAGAAAATTTTCCCATTTCCTTCAAAAAATGTACTGTTTTGAAATACTTAGTTGTGTTTCTCTTTAGAAGTATTTCAGGCATTGTTGCACATTATAAAGAAACAAAAGATGTTAACAGTTCCAGACTCCGGCCTTCCTTTTCGTGTCAGCCTAAGACTGGAGGCAGCCAAGACTGCTGTTTTCTGGTAATGTGAGCAAGTCGCATCACAAAATAACTTCTGTTTGTTCAACAATAAAATGTAATAATCAGGCTTTAGAAAAAAAGAAAAATTAAGCACTTGGCAAAATCTAGTCAAAGGATTTGGAAGTTGCACATCAAAAGCTGCAGAAAGAACTTGTATTTGAATAATTTGGAGTTTCTGGTTCCCAAACTTTTTCTTAAGTCTTCAGGAGCTATTAAACTGCAATCTTTCTTTGTTGCCACTACGTGATTCATTAAAGATAAACTCCATTCCATCTCTGTCCTAACATGGTACCTCCCAGTCTTCAAATATATGCACCTTATTTTAGAAGACTTATTTCTGTCTTTTTTTTAATATTTCTTCTATATAACCTTTTATGTATTTCTGTACTTCTGTGATGAACATGTTAGGCAAATGAAGCAACAGAAGAGACGTTAAATGAGCTAGAAAGGAAAGATGAATTTATCCAGAGCTTTCAGTATGAAAGGCAAGCTACAATTTTTCCTACAGATGAGATCCGGCAACAGTTGATGCTGTTATTTTCAAAATTGTCTGGGGGAGTGTGTACCAGTCACTCGGCCTTCTTTTGTGTGGTGCTGGGGATGATTCACAGTGCAGCGAGTCGCTCTTTATGTTGTTTAATCTGTGTGACTGAAAACAGTAGGCTGTTATTAGGCGTTGAATAAAAAAAGGGTTGAGATTTTCATATGTCAATGTACAACCTCAAACTCTGAAGGAAAAGTTCAAGTTTCTATTCTGCCTTGTCCTTTGTACCCAGGGTGCTACAATGGATGATTTCCAGGTGCCTAGCGTAAAAGGGAGGGAATTGGTATCTATAATCAGAAGGAATACTGTAATAGTTGTTTCTTTATATTGCTACCCAAAATTTGGAATTACTAATTCCTTTTGAGTTTCCTTTCTTGATCTGAAGCTCTAGCTGCCCTTTTCAGTATCAAAAATTGCTCTGAACAATATATGAAATTTATCTACATTTCTCATGTAGATTAGTAGTGGACTTCATATGTGGGTTGACCCAAATGAAAGATTAAAATAAATAGTTTAAATCAAGAAGTAAAATTTGATTTAAATCTTCTTTGAGTCTGTCTTGATTGATTAATACCCAGTAGACTTAATAAATTCAGATAATCTTATCAGCAGTTACTTTTCTTTCTCTATGAATGCAAGTGAGGCTAAAGCACAACAGACCATACTGGATGTGGTTCTGGGAGTGACTGGGGGAGGAGGCTGCCCATCAGCTTGGCCAGTCGTTCCTTGTGTGACCTGACTTACACGTTTGCGTGGCTCTCAGGGGGACGTCTCCTTTTGAACTATTTGCCTGTTCTGATGAGAATTAGACAGACAAAAAAGAATGATTTGCCTGAAAACAACATTATAGAGGAAGATTCATAGACAGAGAGAATGATTTGACTAAATCTCCTTTGTTTTATTGTGTTTTGTGTATGACAGGAGGAAGCTTCTCCTTATTCTTTACTTGATATCTGTTTGAATTTCCTGACTGCCAACCTAGAGAAGTTTTGCACAGAAAGGCAAGATGGAACGCTGTGCTTGCAGGAGCCAGGAATGTTTCCTCAAGAAGTGGCTGATCGTTTGCTGCAGACAATGGCATTTCATGGTAAAAAAAATTATTTGCGTGTTTTCGGTGAAAATATTTTACTGGAATGTGACTCTGCAGTTCTGGTGTGTTTTCTAGTAGAATCTCCTATTCCAGCAGTTGAAACTGTGTGCCTTAATCTCTTAATAGACATTTTCTGTTATTTTGGCTTTTCTACAGCTTCAGCTGAGTGTTGCATTGCCATATAGATAGTTCTAAATAGTAAGTTCTTTGTCTTGGGTTTATAATTTTGATTTAATGTTATTTTAATTGAATATTCTTAAATAAATCTTCTTTCAGTCACTTTAAAAAGAGATTTGTTTGATTCTACTATTTCTAGCAGCATTCAACTATTTTAATATCTCCTGCAGAGCAATTAATTGAATTTTCTTTGCTATATGTCCTTGTGAATAAACTAGGAAATAATTTTATGATTTTCCTTAAAATAGTTTCTCATCTCTTCTGGCACTTTTGTTGCTGTGGAATTACTTGCTCAAAAGCAGTCAGTTTCAAGAGTAGTATAATAGTCTGTAATATATAATATATATAATAGTATAAGAAAACCATGTTGTGGTGTTCTTACATTTTAGGTAGTGGCCTATCATGTTCTCTGTCAGCACCATCTTTGAGGAGAGACCTTCCCTCTCCTTTCCTTGCTTTAAGCGTGACAAAGGGAAATGTTGTGTTAATAAAAGCTTCTCGGCATGAAAAGGGTGAATGTATATATTACCCTAGAGAAGAGGCAGGAGACCTGTTCCTGGAGATCCTGGAGGCTTTTATTTAATGGCTATGAGACATTATGCTAGAAAAATTGCTTTTTTACACCTGTCCTACAGGTGCAGATTTGATTTGCTCTTGTTGTGCAAATACTGGTGTTCTAGTTTTCTCAAGTTGTTCTAGTGGGATATAACAGAAGGAATGGTCCTTAAAAAAAACCCACCGTGCAAACCCAAAAAACCTCTTCATCTTCAACATGTTACTTTCTGATAAGTAATTATTTAGAGTAGTCCCAAGAAATCTGAAAGATTGAAAAGGTTGAAACTGACTTACCAGAAACCTGTTACCAGTGCTAGTAGCGATGAAGGCAGTTCCAGACAATGAAACATCACGAACAATGTGTCAGAGTGCAGGATGTCAAAAAAAGTGCATGCCAGGTAAACAGGGTGTGGCGAAGGCAGGCCAGTGAGAAAGACTGCCTTGATCCTTAAATCAAAAGATTAGCAAAAATTAAGAAGTAATTTAGCAATTATTTATCACATTTAATTTTTCTGCTGGGTGCCAATTGTTTTGCCTCATATTTTTGATTTCTCTGCAAAAGAGGTACCCCGGCTACTTGGTCAGAAATGCCTGAACCATTTGCTCTTTAGAAAGGTCTGCAAATCTTAATATTAATTTGACTTTGTCACAGAGGCAATTACTAGCTTGTGACTTAAATCCAAACTGTAGTGGCAAAGTTTTTATTCAAATAAATCGCCTTTTAGTTTCTTTTCTATGTTCAGTATGCTTGAAGATAAGAGATAAAAAACGGGAGTGTTGACATTTATCACCCTCTGGAGTGAAACTAGAAGGACATGTTCTTCCTACTCCTTTTGTGTGCATGCTTGTGCAATCATACCCTTCTCATACAGCTTTCTATAAAGCTGTAATCCTTGTTGATAAGATAGAAATAAGAAATCTTGGTGTTTTCAATACATTTTGGATAATCCTGTGCATGAAACTAAATACGTTATTCCAGGATATAGGATGTTGCCGGTATGCTGCAAGAGAAGACTACTTATGCAGTCTTCTTGCTGCAGAGCAAAAATATAATAATCTCAAACAAGATTGTTGCATTTCCTTTTTTCATTGCTGTTTTTTATGTCCATCCCTCCCTTTCCTTGTCCTTTCTCCTCCTTGAATCACTTCTTAGGTTTCTTTCTCACATTCAGCTTGTTTCTGAGCAACACTCCTACCTTCTTGGTGAGGGATGTATAGAACTTAATTAGCTTAGTTTAGTGTATTGATCCTACTTATGAATTCAATCAAATGCTAAATTATTCAATTGAGTTAAAACAAGGTGAGAACTGGTCATTGTTTGCTGGTACTATCTTCAGGGTAACAGAACTGTGACTAGGGAAGAATGACTTTGAGAAATTTTGAAATTCTCTTTTTAGCACATTTCTAGTCAGTTCAGTAAGAAAATCCAGAAAATGTAGGCAGCAGTCTGAATGTTTTTGAGTCATCACCACATTTTATTTATTGCATGTTCTGTGTTCTGAACCAAACAGGTAATGTGTATAGACTACATCTTAATTTATCTGTCCTGCTCTTAAGTGTGGCATTTTCCAAAAGTGACATCGTAATCTTAAAAGTGAAATCTCAAATATAAAATTTCAGGATCATAGCTTAATGATCCAAGACAAACTACTTTGTAATTAATTTTCTTTGTTAGCACTTTGTACCCTTTGGGTTCTTAAAATAAAAGTGGTGTTCTGTAACATTGGAGCCACACTAATGCTGATTCCCAACAGGGCTTCTGAATGATGGAACTGTGGGCATCTTCCGAGGCAACCAGATGCGTTTGAAACGAGCTTGTATCCGGAAAGCGAAAATCTCTGCTGTGGCTTTCCGGAAAGGATTCTGCCATCACAAGCTGGTAGAACTCGATGCTACTGGGGTAAACGCTGATATAACGATCACAGACATTATAAGTGGACTTGGCAGCAATAAATGGATCCAACAAAATCTTCAATGCCTTGTGCTGAACTCGCTAACTCTTTCTTTGGAAGACCCATACGAGAGATGCTTCAGTCAGTTGTCCGGGCTTCGTGCACTGAGTATTACCAATGTTCTGTTCTACAACGAGGACTTGGCAGACGTTGCTTCACTTCCTCGGTTAGAAAGTCTGGATATATCGAACACCTCTGTCACTGACATAACAGCACTCCTCACCTGCAAAGACCGACTCAAGTCTTTGACCATGCACCACCTGAAATGCTTGAAAATGACCACAACCCAGATTCTAGATGTTATAAGAGAACTAAAATATCTGAATCATCTTGATATTTCAGATGACAAACAGTTCACGTCAGACATAGCACTTCGTTTACTGGAACAGAAAGATATCTTGCCTAACCTTGTGTCTTTGGACATTTCTGGAAGAAAACATGTTACAGACAAAGCTGTAGAAGCGTTTATTCAGCAACGGCCTACAATGCAGTTTGTAGGACTGCTAGCTACTGATGCCGGCTACTCAGAATTCCTAACAGGAGAAGGAAACCTAAAGGTTAAGTGGAGGAATTCGTTTTACTGAAAAATTACAATGTGCAGGAAAAATAGAACTAATCGTTTGTAACGAATGTATGTGGGTGTTCAGGAGGCGGCTGTAGGTTAATTTTTTTAACTGTTAATTGTAATTACTGACTTTGTCTCAAATTCCTACATAATTCTGGCACAGAAACTGCTAAATTTACATAATACTAATGTATTAATACTCCATGCCTTTTCGGTGAGCCTTAGATCCTGGTTTAACGTATCAGATCTAAGAAAGCTGAACTTTGTCTTGCCTGAAATCATTTACTGGAATAATATTCTCTGGATTCCAGCATGGGATCTAGCATAAGGCAGTAATATGTAAGAGGTGGAGGTACGATTTGCATAAGGTTTGAGCAGTTCATGATTAACACAGCAGATGCAATAAAACTTAATGACTGAGCTGCTGTTGTGCTCCATCACCACTTCCATTTCCTATTGCAATTATTTCTACCCATCTTGAAAGGTCTTTTGGTGATGAACATGTGAGGAGCAATTACTTAGGATGAAAAACTTCCTCTTCTTGAGCAAATCCTAAATTACTTAGCCCCTTGGGATGAGATGATGTTTGCTGAAGTGCTTTTATTTACCATTTAGTGCCAGGCAACAAGATGTTCTTCCCTGTTCTGTAGAATATGCATGCACTTACTGGTGAATGATCCCATCCTTCTCTGCTATGGAGGGGTCAGAATTAAAGAAGAAACAGAGATAGTTTAGGCATGTCGGTGTCAGTGGTATGTCATCTTTGAGTCTTTGAGTTTGTTTTTTTTATGCTGTGCCATGAGGACGATCGAAACTGCAGAGGGAATAAGGAAGAGTTTGCATAATGTGTCCATAGTTTAGCCTGTCTCCTGTGCAAGTTGAGTTTTGCGTTTCAGTTTTAAAATTCAGAATGCTGTTGTTATAGGCAAGTGAGGTAACGCTGCTACACGATTTTATAATGTTTTTTTTTCCTGGACCTTCTGAAATTTGTTAATGGCCAAGTCTCTTGAGTACTTAGTTGTCACAGCTGATAATGATGTGTATGAATGTTGAAATGTGTTGTTAGAGAAAGGAAGTTCCCGTTTGGCGTGATCGATGTACGGCGTCGGGAAATTATGCCTCGTGTGGTGTAAAGTAATTCGATAGGATTTCAATGTAATCTTTGCTATTTAGAATACATGCTTCATGCAAGTGACTGTGCTATGAAAAGGCAGGCAGGAACAGGGTTCTACTAATGTGAAAATCATGATAGTCTTGTAGCAAAAAGCAGTTTGCATTTCTTTCTATTTTTTTCTTTTTTTCTTTTAAGGCATAGTTGTCAAGAAGAGACTGTAGGCAGTGATTTTTTTTTTTTTCCTTTTTTTTTTTTTTGTGACCTGAAATTCGTTAGTAACTATACTGAAATATTCAGCTGCTTAGTCTAGATACTGCTAAAGAATAAACAGGACGCAGCACTCATGGAGACAGCAGAAGTAAAACATTACAGTCTTCACAGCAGTCCTGTGAAATTTGATTATAGAAAATTCTTGAAAGATGACACACTAGGCAAACATTGTAGTTGAGAACATGAAGCCTAGTGGAAATTCTTCATATAGTGTATAATTGGCTGCAAAAACATGTCAGCAAATATGATTGCTCTGTTCTAATCCAGTGGAGAATATAAAAGAAAATCCAAGATGGTGTCAGTTGTCTCGAGGCTGTAATGTATTCCTGATCTAGCAAGTTTTGTAAAATTTGGCTCTATACAATACAGGATGCACGGAACGTGACACTTCAATCTATGAACATTTACTTTCCGTTACATGATGCATTAAATAGAACAAGTTCTGCAAGCCTCCCTAAAAATTTTAAAAATCAGCGATTGCAGCAGTGATTCATTAAATAATAGGACTGAGGAGCAAACCATCTACAGTTACACGACTTAGGGTTGTAAGGTAGATAAAATGTAGTGAAATGGAAAATACAGCAGATTGGGAAGTGCAAAAATTTGCAGCTAGTTGCTGATGAACATTCCGAACTTAAACTCGTATTAGTCGACAGCCCGTAGCTTCTAATGCAATCTTCACTCAAGTTAGCTCATGGCTTAGTTTTCACATGTAGTTAAAGTCTAGTTTTAAGAATTCTTTTGCAGAGAGCACGAGTTAGTTCTTTAATGTGCTGGAAAGCTGTTGCTACAGGCAGAGCTTATAGGAAACTTGATGTAGACAAAGAAAGGAAATCTATCTTTTTTTATTGGCAGAGCTAGAACCCAGAGACAAAAAATTACAGCCCAAATACCATCTTCATGAGTTTATCAGCTGCATTTGACAGAGCATTCAGTTACAAATAGCACTTTTAGGCGTTTGGTGCATAATAAGCAGCTTTTGTTAGTTTTGAAGTGCTGCTTTTACTTAGTGATTTCATACAGTTCTGCTTAAAAGACATGACAGAAGCCTAATTTTGACTTATAATGTAGATTCTTCTTTATGAGGAATGTTTGAAGATTGTATAGTTTTTGATTAATATAGCCAGATAATCAGTTTTTTTACTGAAGGATTTGGCTAAAAATATAACCACCTTTGAATCTTCAGCTTTGCACTTTTTAAGAACAACATTTTTAAAGTAACATGATGATATCGTGAACTAAAGATAATTTTTCTGTTGATAGGTGTCGGGAGAAGCAAATGAAACTCAGATTTCTGAAGCACTGAAGCGTTACAGTGAGCGGGCCTTCTTTGTGAGAGAAGCACTCTTTCATTTATTCAGCCTGACACATGTAATGGAAAAAACGAAGCCTGAAATTTTAAAGGTAAAATAATACAGTCATGCATTGTTCCTTGAACTGAGCCCATCCCCAAGACCCTGGTATAAATTATTTTGTAAGCTTTTACATTTTTTGGTTGTGATTTTTAAGATTAAAATTGTAATGTTGGGTAACAATCATTAACTATTTAAACAATAGTGATGTGGAAGATGCCCTGTAGCATTTTGTTATGTAAAATTGATCTAGACTAATGTATAGTATCTAAATGTAGTAGTATCTAAATTATTTTTTCATATAATTTCGAATATGATATGAAGTTTGCTTCAGATACTGAATTCTGTCATTTGGACATATCTGTACTAGGTCAAATCAAAGATCTGTCCAGTCTTAATCCTCAGTTACAACAGTACCTTCTTCTGATGCTTATGAAATAGTAATAATAAGGAAGACATTCAGTGATATTTCTCTCCAGTATCACCTTCCAGTGTCATAGCAAATGAATAAATATTGTTAGTGTTCTACATTGGGCTCGTAAGTTGGAAAAACCTAGAAACTTCTTTAGAAATCCGTGTTAGGCACTGGCTTTCCATGTTTACAACACCAGAGGTGGTTTAATTTTTACTGTAATCACAAAAAGAGGCATCAGTAGGACAGATGATTTTTGTTTTTTTGAACAAATGACCTTGATTTTGTTGGCTTCAATATCAAAAATGCTTTGGCAATCAATCAACAAGAAAAATATCTTCTTGGGTGAGATCACAATCAACAAACATAGCCAAAAACATAATTCAGAAAGAAGTTGCAAAAAATATGTCCTGACCTAGCAGCTCACGATGTGATCTGAAATGGCTAGTCGCCGAACACCAAGCCACTACGTCACTACCGTTACATTGCAGAAACTCTGTCCTCCCTCATTCATCTCTGAAAAGGTTTGGTGATTTTTATTTTTTTTTTTTTCTGGTGTGTAAAGCAAACCTTGGATCTTTCTAGGAATCTCTTGCATTCCATGTGATATCTCCTCTTGAGAGGCTGCTGCAACCAATACAAAAGGACTTGGAGAAATAGAAGTTGTCAGCTTTGAATCACTGAGCAGAAGGAAATGTTCTTCCTGAGAATTAAAATCACACCAGATGGATTTTTCACTTAAGTAAAAGGGAGGCAGAAACTGGGTGCTGAGAGTCATTGTTGTGGCCTCAAGCAGCAGTGGATTGCTCTTGGATTAAGTGCATAAATGTATAACGTGGGCAAAACTCTTGCGTTTCAGCTCGTGGTTATTGGAATGAGGAATCACCCCCTGAACTTGCCTGTTCAGTTAGCAGCGAGTGCGTGTGTCTTCAACCTGACCAAGCAAGATCTAGCAGCAGGGATGCCTGTGCGGCTTCTGGCCGATGTCACTCACTTGCTCCTGAAGGCCATGGAACACTTCCCAAATCATCAACAGGTAGAAGATGAAATTTCTTCGTTTTCTGTAGGATTTTGTGTCTTGTGGATTTTACAAAAAGTTTCTCCACATAGCATGACTTCATGGAAATACGTTTAATGGTTCATAGCGAGAAAGTATTCTGAAATGTGTATGTCTCTGATGAAGTAATTCTTTTTCATTTCTCATAGCTGCAAAAGAATTGCCTCCTTTCACTATGCAGTGACAGAATCCTTCAGGATGTTCCGTTTAACAGGCAAGTTTTATATGTCAGTCAAAACACGTCATAGCATTGCAGAATATTTTTCTTTGTTGTCTGTTCCTTCAGAGGGTTTGTTTCTGGTCTCAGTTTTGCTCAGTTTAAATCATTCCAGTGTGCTGAATTTGTCTGGCCTACGTTATTTTGGGCCTCTTGAATATAGATCTGAAAAAAATCCTTTGGTATAGAGGTATTTTTCATTTCACCTGGATGGGTCTGTCACTAATTGTGTGTAACAGAAGTCAGGATTTCTCTGGACAGCTATGGGATTGCTTTTTGCGGATATTTTTCTACTTAAATGTTTTGCCCAATTGCTTTGAAGCTTGTTGGTCTGATGTTGCAGAAAATTGTGCCAAATTTTTCTTCCTTCTTTGAAGCAATTCCTGTGCTCTTTGATATATAATTTGAAGTAAGAGACCCTGAGTAAACAACTCAAAGCTGACTGAGGTTCATGCAATACCTGTAATTTCACTATGTATTTCTACTCTTTTTTTGTACGAGGCATACTTCTTCCAGTTTATTTTGTCTTGCATGCATTTCTGCCTGATGTGTTGTCTGTGTATGTCTTTCTTTGCTAAGACTTATGAGACTTCTGAAAATTAAATTTATTTTTAACTTCCAGGTTTGAAGCAGCCAAACTTGTTATGCAGTGGCTGTGTAATCATGAAGATCAAAACATGCAAAGGATGGCTGTAGCCATAATTTCCATTCTTGCTGCAAAGGTACAAAATTTAAGCTTTGAGGTGATAAGATAATATTTCTAAAGTCTAAAAAAAATTGTTGATATGGTTTTGTTTGTTTACAGCTTTCAACAGAGCAAACAGCTCAACTCGGTGCAGAGCTTTTCATTGTTAGGGTAAGTTAGAACTTTCCTGGCAGTCAAAAATACCATCCTCTCTAGCCACACATGCTAACGGTGTTATTAAAGATACAAAGTAAACATAAGTAGATAGCATTTCAAAGAACACATTCACTTACATTCATTTGAAAGTTCTTGAGAAGAGAAAAGCTTAGAGAATTTGTTAGAATAGTATCAGAGACTGTGGCACTGAGACATATTAGCATAGATGAAAAGAATCCAAAGTGGAAAAACTCAACACAAGAAATACAAAGTAAAATAGCAAGACATCTTTTAATTTGAAGTCCATTTTATAGGACAAAAGATGCTCAAAAAGAGACTGTTTGAAGTAAATGGTTAGTGCTGTCAGTGTTCACGTGGGGTCCAGAGTTCTGTGGATGGCTGTTTGCCATCTGTACTAGTACTACAAACGTGATTACTGTGAAAACAGAGGAATTCCTCTAGCAGGCAACCATGTTCAAAGGGGAGGTAAAAGTTTCATAGCTGTTTTGTTTTGTGTAGTTTGACCCTAAGCATGTAGATCTTTACTTCGCATATAAATGATAGCTATGTATTACCCCAGTCAGTGCAGAAAGAAGCAGAGGAGCTAATATATTTTTTTGATATGCAATCATATTTGAATTATTTTTTTTTTCCAGCAACTTCTGCAAATAGTTAAACAGAAAACAAATCAGAATCTTGTAGATACTACCCTCAAGTTCACACTGAGTGCACTTTGGAACCTGACTGATGAATCTCCAACAACATGTCGGCACTTCATTGAGAATCAAGGGCTGGAACTTTTCATGAGAGTCTTAGAGGTGAGGAGTACAGTTTTTAGTGGTAGATTATCAACATAGGTTTATAATTAACATTGTTTGAATAATAAACATAAATGGTTACCTGTAGTTTGTTTCTTTTTTCCATAGTCTTTTCCATCTGAATCATCCATTCAACAGAAAGTTCTTGGACTTCTGGTGAGATGAAAAAAAAATCCCCTAAATCAAAGCCTGAAATATATACTTTTATTTGTTTGTTTATTTATTTTTTACCCCATGTTAATCTGAAAAGTTGCCTGATATTTTTATGTTCTTCTTTAATCTTTGTAGTGTGCATTATTCACAATTGACATTGTTTTGAACTGTTTTTCTGATTCTTCAAAAGCACGAGTTATACTGAAATTGATGGTTACAGTAAACAGAAAAAGCTTTTAAGAAAGGGCAGTGAGTGAGGTTTCAGATGAGTCTAGATGAAAAAAGTAGGTTGAAAATCAATGGAATTCAGAGTTGTGCACCACCAAAGTTTGCTGAAATTGAATGTGTTTGAGAGTATTAAAACTAGCAGCGTAATCTGCATTCTAATGGTCTAAAATTACTTCTGAGAACTTCTTTGTTTTGAAGCAAGTTCCTGCATTAACCTAGAAAAGTTTTTAAAAGCGAGAGTAGTATTTTTTGAATCTGGTGGTCACCTGGATGTATGAAGACCTCACCTGGTGTTATATGTGTTTACGCAGTGTAATTCAAGTCTGTATGTTTATC